GTGCGATAGACTTACCTCCACGCGGTGCACTCTGGGCAACGTATACTCATACGGTAGAAAAGTCTATTAACCGGCAGTTGACTTCAAACTATCATAACCCCACTGTATGACATTTTCGACCACTTCCACAGTACTACATCACATTTTTTTCTAAATTTTCAACCTTCGTTTTTGAAACACTCTTCGGTTCCCTTCCTCTCGACTTTTTTTCACTTTGATGTTCTTCCCCTCTGTGAAGCCTGAAGTCAACTAAAGGGCTAATGTTAACCATCAAAACGCCTGCCATTTGATATAAATAAATAAATGTTTTGGTGTAGATAGCCTCCGTTTAATTCTTTTATTTCTCTATTTCACAGATCTTGTACTTTTCTATGATCTAAGAGTTGCACAATCATATACAAGTGGCCAAGTTTTCCCATTGCAAACATCCTTCCACTCGCAACAATGGAAATTAAAATGTATTCGTTCATAATTAATGGTTCCTTACCTTGACGTTACCGACAATAATTAGTATTTGCTTTTTGGTGACTTTGATCAAAATTTCGTTCGTGAAAGGTCTAATGAAGCTCAAATTCACTTATGGATTTGCGTAATCTCTTCTATCTAATCTCTCTCAGCCAATGCACGTTATTCAGGAATATAAATCATACTTTTCCCCTGGTCCAAGGGTATCGTACTGATTTCTATCGGAACTGTAGACATTTTATACATTTTCCATAAGTAAGGCTTTTTTAACTAAAATAACTACTTTTATGGATTTAAGCTTAATAAGTTTTAGAAATAAAGATTGTAAGAAAAAGCTCATATGATAAGCCGAACACGATAATTAAAATAATTCTTGCCTGATTGTTTAGCCAGATACCGAATGTCCTCTTTGCACCGTTGATTGACCAAATTAAATGTTTTCAGGACTCGAAGTAGGGTTCCATTGTGGCAACGCTCACTTTCTTCTGGTTTCTTGTTACAGCCTTAATTAGATAATAGCAGAACTAGTTAGAGTCACAGTAATAGAATGGAAAAAAGAAATTGGCCAAAAATTTTCCTTGAATAAAAATTGGAATAAGATTTGCCAATAAAAGTGGTGCCTTCGTAATGTGATATAGATTTCAGGTAAATGGGCATAAAATTCCATATAAAATTTAACAAGGTGGAACTATTTTCAAAATGAAATACATATGGATATTATATTGGCATTACGTCTTCCTTGTGGAAGGGGGGGAGAGAGGATAAGAGGTATTTCATGTAACGGGTCATTTTTCAAGTGCCCTTAAGCAACTACACCTTTTGTGAAAACTTTTTACTTACAACACGGTCTGGTTCGAAGAATTCGTCTTCTCCTTTCGCATTTGCAATTAACTGGTGAAAATTCGAAAGAGAATAGTTCTTGCAAGCACGTCGACCTATCACATTCAGACCACCCGGGTTCTGCCTCACTTGCTGATAAGGTGCATTCTATGTAATATAAAAAGAATTAAGAATAATTATTCTATAAATGGTGAATCGAGATTATTTAACAACCACTAAATTACGTATCGGTTGATGAGTCATCGTCGTTCGTTTTTGGCAGGTATGTCCACACCCGTTGACCCTCGGGACATAATAGTCTGATCGGACAATCCAACCAGTGCCATTATGGCAGCTAAGCGAAATCTTTTTCTCTGGGCAGCCTAAAATATTTAAAAAAACACATTCAAATATACACGACAGTCAGAATATCGTTTGTGGGACAGGAACTGATGGATTCAACTCGTTTGCCAGGGTCTCTGCAGAGTACAATGACTTGTTGTTCTTTAAATTAAGTATGATTACCTTCCTCTACTTAGTTTTATATCATCCACGACTTACTTAAGTTGAAATAACTGTTCTTATCGAAATTAGTCTATCTTTCAATATGAATATATCTTGATACGATGCAATAATTTAAAATCCAGACTGGTCTTATAGCCTGGCTCTGACGGGCATTCATTAGTTCACTTTAATCTTTCAGTGCAGATCCATTTTTATGCAACTTTACTAAACCGGTGTAATTGCTAATTTTCTTATTCGTATCTGATTTTTATATCACGATATAAATTGAACAAAATCTTACCACAGCACGAGCATTCCTTTATCTCCTTGAGTTTCCTGTCACAACCACAAGTTGAAGCATTGTAAACCTGAGTGTAGATACTAAGACGTCGTCGACAAGTTGTAGGATCACACTGTCCAAACTCTTCTAGCTTGTTATTGGATAAGCAAGTTGGTGCCCAACGCTGAACCTCCGTCACGCGTTTACAGCCCAGGCGATCTTTGTAAGGTTCGTGGCGAATTCGCTAAGAGTGAAGTCATTAGCTATTTAATCCAAGTCATTATCACCAGGAAGCACACATCTTCTTGATAAGTTTTTGCATTCAGTTCCATATAATTTTATTTCCGGGCACCGATTAAAGAAGACATGGGTTGATTTCGCAAAGTGCTCACTTATTTTATTTGTTAACCTCTCAGTTCCTACCTTTTTAGCTTTACTGTGCCTAGCTTTGAAGTACTACATTATACGTTTCCTTTTCACTCATTAATTGAACGGCCCATCTGAAGGGTACTATTTCGTCAATTGGGAATTTTAAGTATGGATTTTTCCTATTCAAACTCGTTGGTTGCTACCTTCAAGTTGGGAAAGTACCAACCCAGCGAAAACTCAAGTGACCCTATTCTCTGTATTCGCCATTTTGGGTGCGAAGCGAGTATTGTCAACTTCTTTTAACTGGTAATTAATGTAAACTATTGGGAGGAAGATGGATGATATAATAGTGCAATTGTAAAGCTCTTGAAGGCTATTCTTAATTTGAAACCTTCTTGTACAATCTTGTATCAATGTTAACGCGCATTTATTAGAGTGAAGAGTATTCAGTTTGAAACTTGAATTTAAATGAAGGAAATCTCTACTGCTTTTTCTTCATTCTTCTTATAATCCGCTTCCCTCCACTTACTCATCTTTGTTGCTTTTGCTCAATTTTCATTTTTTTAAATTCTTAGATAATTGCATTTCCTAACTTATTTTTTATATCATGAATAATAATAATAATTGAGGCTTACTCTGGTTTCCATCATTCCATTAACGCAAGATGTCTGTTCTGTGGCAGTTGGACAGTAACAAACAAGCTTCTCCTCGTATCGATTGGTAAATATGCACTTCCCACGTTTCAGATCCCAGTCTCTCTCTAGATATGCTACAGTTTGTGTCTCCTCGCCTGAATCGCAGTTCCCAAGAGTTAGCTTCTTTGGCGGGCATCCTAAATTAAACGGAGCTCGGTTATAAAATAGTCAAAGGCCTCATTTTGAGAACTTCACTCAGCCGTTAACGTACGACAATCAACTTGGCTGATTGTTGTATTTTTAATGCATTTGCAGCCATTTGGGTCACTCTCTTGGGTGATCTTCTTAACCTCCATTGTGCCGTTCTTGCAAGGTGAAGTAACGAACTGCACCCTTGGATTGCAAACTAAAATAACGAAGGAAGTTTGACTGCCGTTTCATCAGAAATCGATGTTATACAGCACCAAGATTACCACTCTTACCATGAGGATAGGTCAAATGATGAACAACATCCACACACTTGTTAAGATCATCCCGCCACTCCTGAACTTTGCCTTCCATTGATAATTCCTGCCTTATAGCATTGCAGACAGGTTCACTGAATACAATTTTATTATGTGGACAGTGGCATGAAACAATACGCTCCTCTTCTTGCCGTTTGCACATACAATTGTCTGGCAAATACATCACAGTGATTATTTTCCTCTCGCCTTTTGTGGGATCACATGGAGTATAAATGGTCTCCGTTTTGGGACAAGCTGTAATGAATAAATTAACTTAAACTAACCAAAAAAGCAGAAATCCAGTATAGAAAAGGAAGACAGATACTTACAGAAGGGTTCTTCTTCAATTGTGGTATTAGCCACACAGTCCAGTGAACCTTCGTCTAGTTTGTAGGATGTAACGTGGTGGATTTTCATTCCTCGATCCGAATCGCAATCTGTATGTCTAGTTGGAGCGCCGCATTCTAAATGTACATGGATTGCACCAAAACTACATATATCAAGATTGAGTGGTCATTTAAGTGCTTGATTGAATAGTAGCGCCATAATTGCTTAGACTAAATAGCTGTGCCCATCTTCAATGGGAAGATCTTTTTAATTGAACGTAATGTAGCTTGTAATAAACGGATGTTTCATGAGAAAAAAGGTGACATATAAAAAATATGTTCACATTATCGCTGAAACCCGACCTAACTGAAGGGTGTGCGTTAAATTAGCACCATCAGTGTTCACAACTATTTGAGAACTCCCTTATGTAATTATTACTTTAAATCCAGAAATGGCCTATAGGCTGGAATCGCACTAAGATCATATGAAAAAAATTCAGATATCCTATGCGATTATAATTCAATTTGGTTACTAATTATATCCGATGACGGTTGAATCTATGCGGCAAATCACCCGATCCACTCTTTAGAACAATTAAATTTGTGGAAATCCTAATTTCTGACACAATTTCCCCCTGGCCACATTGTTTTAGCATCCATCCGTAGCTCGATTATTCTTTTAAAGTCTATATCATTTCCACTTAATTTTGCCAAAAAATCCCTTCAAGGAACAACATGCAGATTGGGGGTGGGGGGAGCTTTATTGAGGAAAGAAGAAATTGAAATTGCTTCTGCATTACAACTAAGACCTTAATGTCTTGAAATTTATTGAAAGCATTATATTTAGTTAAATCTAAGCTTGGGGCCTTGTCTTTATCTAAATTTCACTCGAAAACACATTATCGTGCACCCGAAAGTATCAGGTTCAAAAAGTAAATGTTGTATGTTGGCAAAATTCGATGGCGATAGTAAATTAATTAAGCAACACAGGCCTCCTCATTGGTCTATATTTCCATCGTTTACTAGATAATCCAGAGTTCTTTTCTCTTCGAAATTGATTTAGCGCAATAAATGTTTTCGAACTTACCGCATTGACCCCGTTTCAAAACCTCTTCCTCTTGAACACATTTACAGTCATGTGGACGCCACACAGACCTTACAAGTTCACCTTGTCGGGTCTGTTTATTACAACGCATATACGGTTGTTTTAACACCTCTTTATTGGCACATTGGGTCGGTTGTTTTTCAATCTCGACGACCTCTTCACATTTTCCATCAAGAAGAAGTGATTTAATAATTTGTATTTCAACTTCATTAGTCAGTGGATTGCAGACAGATACACCTCTGCGATCAGGTGGACATCCTAGTATAAAAAGGTAAGTAGCCGTTTCAAGTAAAGCATTTTTTGTGACAAAAGTGAAAATTATTTGTGAATAGAGTTTACCGCAACGTTCATGCGAAACTTCATTTACCACTTTGCAGGAGCATCCATCTTGAATCATTTTCTTCTTAATTATTGTTTGTTCTCCGGTGCTAGTGGAACAGTTTCGAGAAACAACTTCGGAATAGGTGGGACACGCTACGTAAATAATGGGAAAGGTTAGACTGAAAGTAAATCATAACCGTAAGGGCAAAGAAGTAAGCTAATACTCACTGATTTTGCTTCGTTTTCTATGAACTTGCTTTTGACAAGTACACCCGATAAGATTGTATCGTGTAGTCTCTAAGACTGACTCCCCGCCCATCGCCATATCACAATATACATGCTGGGTCGATTCAGGACAGCCTTGAATGCATCAATATTTTCATACAACATTGACAAACAATTAATTAAGGTTATCAGTAACTCAATGACTAACTTACGCCATGGGCATTGAAGATTTTTAACCCCCTGAATGCACTTGCATCCAACAAGGGTCTCGAAAACCAGTCGGACCTCTTGAAGTCCATTTGGAAGTTTTGGACCTCGCCTCTGATCGACAAGACCTTCAGTGCAGTTTATTGGTTCTTGCCAGAGGATTTCATGGGGTGTACACTGACCTCCTTCCAATAAGTATTTGGTTTGACTGAGTTGCCACTTAACGCTTCCACCGTTTGCATCACAAGTACGAGTGGTTTCAGAGTCGGGTGGACAACCTGTAAGGGCAATAGAGATGATCGTACAATCTTGTTAATGCAAATTGTTCGAGATGTGTTGAATCGATTTATGATAGAAGTGCAGAAGTAGATAACCGCGCTGCATTATGATATCATAATCTATATATAAATAAATTTAAAGATTCGCCATATACCTTGAAAAGGGGAGATAAAGAAGACTATGCTGGTATTTAAAGCCAGTTACCCTTTAAAGTATTAATCAGTCGTTTTGATCGTTTTTAATGCCATCTTCATCTCCAAAATATATGCTAAGCTATTTCACAGTTGAAAATTAAGCAAAGAATAAACTTTGAAATGTGTAAACTTACAGCAATCTGAAGTAATTTCCCTGATTAACTCTCTTTGGCATTTAGGAATAGTTTCTCCTCCACTATCAGATCCCTTTAAATGCACTAGCCGATACCATCGAGTCTTATGCTTGCAAGCCTGACTTCCACAGAGTTCGCTTTGTGCCGTGCATTCAGGAGAGCATGGAACTTCCTCCTTGAACCCTCCAGTTTTCAGTCGTTTTACTTCCCCAGTCTCAATATCGATGCATTCGCAGGCAGTGCTGATTATCCGAGCTTTTGGAGGGGAGCAATCACAGCCTCTCTCCCGGTCACTACTCATAATTACTGCTGTTCGAACCATCAGACCGGTAGAAGGATCCGATTTGCATTCGCCAGTACCCTCAATGTAAGTTTCATTGCAAACTAAAGGTAAATAGATATTAAGAGAATAAAATTTTTACGTAATTATAGAAGTATTATTGAAGCATAAAATCGATACAAGGGAATCTTTATATATTTCAATTTAAATGAATTTTACCCGATTGTCAAGTGAAATAAAATACAAACAGAAACAAAAATCACGTTTTTTATTGTATTTTCAAATAAATTTCGCGATTTCAACTCACCAACAGGGATCGTTCTTTTCTGGATAGTTTCTAGTGTTCCATCGGCCAATCGTCGGTACGTGGCAGTCTCGTAGACCTTTGCTCCCAAAACTTCATCGCAGTAAACACGAGTTGAATCATACAAGTCACTTCTACAAGCCTCCACTTTGTTCGCGATGTGTTGCAAACACTGTCCATTTACCAGACTGTAAGTGAACTTCTGAATTGATCGTTGATTTCCAACACAAGGGGAAGCCTTGATTTCTGCTTTTGGACAGCCTATGAGATTTTGTTATATCATCAGTTTACTTCCTTCATGCGAACAACAATCAAATCGAAGATAAAATTTCAACAAAATATTTACTAATGTTACGGTAGTCAATAAATCATTGTGCTTTTGTTTGCATCGGTTGAAGATTAGTTTTGAAGACAAATGAAAAGGGCGATTAGATAAGACGATGATTTTCTAGAACAAAATTCATTTTCATTTTCTTAATAACAAACTTCATAACCCAATTCAAATTTGTCTGAATGCAGAAGAAGGGTGTACAGCTGAAATGACTAAGTTTAAAGGGTCGAATAAAATGGCTATTTGAACTATCACTTCATTATTTATTTGAGAGTTTTAGCAAAATTGTAAAATTGTTCGCATCCAAATTGACAGAATATATGGGCTCTAGAGCGAAAAAAGAACAGAGAAAATTCTACGTTGAAATATCAGTAATAGATTTAAGTTACAAATACTATGTATGAATGTGAACTAAGAGGAAGCCCAACATCGATATAAATCTATCAGGGGAATCGAAAGGAAACTATCAATGCATGGTTGATGATAAGAGGTTTCTTGGCTGATTTTGGACGCTTTACGAATAAAAGCCCAAAATCAATTGAAACTTACAGCATTTTCCCGCTGCAATCTTATTTTCCACCTTTCGACACTCACAACCATCCAACTGCCATTCACGATTAAGAAGATATCGCTGGCAACTCTGCGGATCACACATTTCTTCAATATCACTTCTTGTATCCACCATAGTTTCATTTTCTGGGGGACAGTTTTGTGGTGGAAGCTGTTTAAGCTGAACAATTGGAATACAACGTCCCTTTTGGAGACGATAGCGTAGCGTTTTCACAATCATTTTGTTTGTATGACCATTACAAACAGTCTCTTTCTTTACTCCTTTTGGACAATCTAAATACAGATAATAATATTATCTATAGAAACTCAAATACTGATTAATCGCTACAACTGGAAATAAATATCATACCACAAATTTCTTTCGTCACTCGAACGGATCTCGAACATGTACAATTTACTGGTAGTTCGCTGACAATGTGGATCTCTCGGTGGCCAATTCCAGTTGCTGGATCTTGAATACATTGCTTATTGATTCTAGCCTCACCACGACAATCTTTAAGGGGAGGGGGAGAGAAAGCGTGATACAAATTACATTTGTAGATAATTTAAGTTGTCTCCGAACTTACTTATTTCCTTCTCCAGTACATCAACTGATTTAGTTTCACACTTGTCGCAGGAAATTTGACGTGTATGCTGCATTCTTCGCATAAGGGAATTGTTGTCGACGCATACAGTCATTGTTGAACTTCCTTGTTTGCATTCTAAAATTTTGTGCAAAAGTAACTCTAACTCTTTAAGAAAATAGAGGGTAAATTTTCAGTGGTTATTAATAGAAGAACAGCAACTTTTTTCATATATTTTAAAAGTAGAAATAGCAATATAAGTAGGCTCCCACACTGCTGCACATTGACTTTGGTCTGAGAAAAATATATGCTCTGCATCATGCAACCTACTTGAAGTGGGAGGATTCGGGCTAAGGTAAGATGGAAGCTTCTTCAGGAGACTACACCTCTTGCTTCTTGGTTCCTATTTTCACTTCTACAAATCTTATAGACTTCATGCCTTTCCAATTTCTATATCACAACAAAAGTGAAGCCCGAGTTTCACACTTAAGTTTGGCCAATGTCGTCTCTGATATAAGATGGAATAATTTATACTTTACTACTTCCAATATTAAGAAATGCAAGAGGCGTTAAACTGTTTTCTCTCAGAACATCATCTGCCCCTGTTAAAACGAATACTCATTTGTCGTTGTGGTAGCTTTAAAAAGAAGTGCTTTTGATTCTGAAGGAGACTGAAGGACAGACAAAGAGATTATTAAAATAGCAAAAAAAAATTAAAAAAACCATTAATGCGTATAGTGGAACTCTCTTCCTTATTTCCAAGGTTAAGGGTAAAAATGTGCCTATTAGCATATCCACCAATTACAGTTCATTTTAACTTTATAAGTAAACGGAGAGATTTACAGTTTAACCAGTTATGTCAACTGAGTTTTTCCCAGTAGGAGACTATGTTGTGGCGTAGATTTGCTCATTGGACTTACCGCATGGTTCATTCGTCCTCTCCTCGAGAACAAGGCATCTCCTTTGGCCTTCCTCCTCCCGGAATTGCTTTACAAGCACCACTTCCCTTCTGCCCTTGCAGTAATCACACGGTAGCTCTTTTCTCTCAAATTTGTCCGGACAATCTATGGAGAAGTGCCAAATAAACTTTATATAAACTAAATTAAATTAATCGCAATTATTGGTCCATTTTTAGGTATTATTTATTCTCACTTGAGATTATTACTATTAATGATAAAGAGTTAGTGATCTGATTGTTGACCATATTCTAAATAATATACCCAGAAAGGCTTTTATTTCATTTTCAAATGTTAAATTGGCTATTTTATTTGGTGATTTGATCAAAAATTTAGGAAACTGATTATCTTGAACCATATGAAATACGAAATATAGTAGTCTTCATATGCAAAAATTTTAATCCTTACCACCGCAAGGCACATATTTGACTTCTCGAACAGCTTCACAACGTCTATCATCGCCCACGTGGCGGTAGCAGATTTCCACAATTTCTTCGGTTTTTGTTTTTGGATCACAGCCACCTCGGATTGTCTCGCAAGGTTTACATGCTTATAAAAAAGGCAATTGAATATGCATTACAAATTTAAGTGGCAACGTGACTATTCATTTTCCAGAATTTCTTGTAAGTATCAGCTTTATTTAAGGAGAGCATTAGTAGTCTGCAAAGAACTGCAAACTTCTAAACTAAATTAAGGCAGTGGGAATAATACTGATAGAATATCTGTTAATATTGAGTAATACCGATAAAATGGGGTGTGCGATAGACTTTCCTCCACCTGGTGTACCCTGGGCAACGGATTATCATACGGCAAAAAAGTCTATTAACTGACAGTTGACTTCTGATCTCAAACTACCATCGCCCCACTGTATGTCATATTCGACTACTTTCACAGTACTCATCTTTCCTTTTCTCTGTCTTTGTGTCTGTCTGGCTCTTTTGCCCGACTGCTTGTCATATTCGACCCCTTCCACAGTACTCACATCACCTTTTTTCTACCTTTGTGTCTGTATCTTCTACATCTTTCCTTTTCTATAATCTTTATATTTGTCTCTTTTACATCTTGTGAAACACTCTTCTGTCCCCCCTCTCGACTTTTTTCACTTTGATGTTCCTCCACCTCTGTGAAGCCTGAAGTCAACTAAATGGCTAATGATAACCATCAACATGCCTGCCATTTGATATAAACAAATAGATAAAATAAATAAATACTGATTAAAATACAATGGGATTCAACGGATCAATAACGAAGTTTATAACATGACCATATTTCCTAATAGTTTTGGAAGGATTTCTTTCTGACCTGTTTAAATCAGAGTATTAGAGTTTATCATTCTAGCACTTTTAGCTCATCCTCACATAAACTCAAAACTTATGTGAAAGACATTTTGAGCAATGGCCTGGAATCTGGCTGTGAAAGTTCGTTGTTAACAAACCAAAACGCCTTACTTAGCATCAACTTACAGATTTTAGGAAATCAGAAAAGAAGAGTCTACTAAGATTTCCTGATTCAAGCTTCCGTCCTAAGCGCCAATAACGCATTATTCAAAAGAGAATTGGAAGTCGGGTGACCCCCTAATCGTACCTCGTTTGGCCCGTTTTTTTCACAATCCTGGTTATCCTTGTTCGGCATTGACGCTCGCTTCCAAATTTATACTTCTACTCCTTAATCCTTTCCACTCTATTCCATTTCAATTACTTAATATATACGCAATCTTAATAAGCGTTTGGTCACGTACACTGTAAACCTTGGGAAGGTTCTAAGTTCTATCAAGGAACATCCATCCTGAAGTAGTCCGGCTCCTTTCCTTCTTAGAGCTATGTGAGGTATGTATTTCTAGCTCATGCCGGTTCTCAATGGACACTGGCAGATTTCCAAATTTCTGTATTATTCAAGATTACAGGAGCTATATCTCGAAATTCAAATTTTACCCAATATCAAAGGAATTCAAAGCATGAAAAGAGAAATCGGAATAAGCAAAGTTACCTGAATATCGTGATTGTTGATTTAGAGATAATTTTACTTCTTACCTGGGTTATCTCGCTTCCTTCTTTATCAAGTCCACAGTATATTATTAAATTAGGCTTATAAAATTAATGGATTCCAAAAATTTAATTGCCTCTCACTTCAAATCCTTGTCATTTTCCCAAATCTAATGATTGGTTCTCATTTATTTTGCCAAAATTGCCAACTGAACTCATTGAACCGATTTATTACAAGTCAACTTACGACAAGCTTTCTGAAGGCTCCTGATCAACTTCTCGCATTTGCAGTCGCGTTTTTCGTAAACTTCGTAGACCTCTGTCATTTTACCTTCGGGTGAACAAGGTGAGGCTTTGAGAAGGGTTGGAAGTGGACACACTGTAAGACATGACATGAAAAGTGAAACGCTCGATTGTAAATAAAATTTGTATTTAGCATGTTCCAAATAATAAAGTTGGGCCTACCTTGATCTGGTAGTTCTTGTTCGCTGAAGGATTTTTCACAGATCCCATCGGTATTTCGGGTGCTACTCTTGGTTATAAGAAGACGCTTTCCGTTTCGGCAAACTTCAGTTGTCACATCTCCTGGACATTCGTTCCTAAAAGTAAATAGTAATATCGAGATTTTCATTATATCCTATGTCATATAATAAATATTATAAATGCAAGAGAAAATGAAATTGTTGGTAATATGAGATAGAATTGACATTTTTACAAGAGATAGTAATCATAGGGCTTTATAATTCAGTTTAGTTTCGTTAATTGGCAAAAAAGATCGATGACCTACCCTCCATCGGCTATGATTATAGTTGTTGTTGTGATCACGATCAAAACCAGCAAAGTTGCTAGCTTTAGCCTGATCATAATAGTAGGGACTCTACGTATTCAGAAAACCGGATTTTCAAAATTGAATTCAACAAATAGAATGCAAAATTATTTTCTGGATGGGAAAGTGGAGGCTCCTTTTATACCTCCTCTGTTTTCTATCCACCCATTAGCCACTCCTTTGATCGGTATACGCCCAAATCCGCAGAAATTTCACTTTCCATTTTGGGAAAAAAATTAACGTTTTGTTCTTAATTGTGATTATTTCGTAGGCTTTCGTTTTGCTCAAAATGTGAGGCGAATTTTTATTTTTGGACAATTTTGCTACACTTCTTCGAGGAAATTGTAGTGTTAAAGCTCAGACGACTCTGTGGTCCCTAAGATAACATGCCGTCAAATAATCACGTTACGAGAAACTGTGGAACGATATTGGTATTAGAGAAAGAGAGAGCGTCCAGTGAATATTTGAATATATATTCCATCAAAATAGCTGGCATTGTCCCCTCCTAAGCAGTGAAACCCAATTAAAAAAACTTTGTGTACTAAAATGAAATCAATTTTTAATGACATTTTCTTCAGTTGACCGTAATTAGAACGTCTGAATTTACTTAGTTAGGTAATTTCCAATGGTTGAAGAGGGATCTTATTGTTATGCCAAAATTAAGCTCTTGGGGCATCTGGTTAATATCCATATGCATATATTCTCAAATGTCCTGCAGAATTCATGGAATTTTTAACTACTCTAAGGGTCTTTCAATTCTGCAACAATAAATTCTCAGATGCAATCTCTCTCTCTCTGTTTACCACTAGCTCATGCATCCAAATCTACAACCCTCTTCTTCTACCGGTTTTGATCTCCAACACATTGTCTACCTTAAACGTTTTAAGTCTCCTTATTTCTTAATCTCAGGGAGTGCGAAAGACTTGCCTTTACGTGGTGCACTCTGAGCAACGTTTGCTCAAAATGTCTATAAACTGACAGTTGACTTCTGACTTCAAACTACCACAATCCCACTATATTTTATATTCGGCCACTTTCACAGTACTCATCTTACCTTTTCTCTGCTTTGTGTCTGTCTGTCTCTTTTACATCTGTGAATCATTATTCTGTCCTCCTCTCGACTTTTTTGTCACTTTGATGTTCCTCCTTCTCTCTGTAAAACCCGAAGTCAGCTAAAGGACTAATTATAACTATCAAAACGTATGCCATTTGATATAAATAAATGGTTCTTCATCTCTTTTTAATTGAAGTATTATTCTTTCTGAGCCTTTGTCTTCTTTTAACTCCTTATATTTCTACTTCTGGTTATATTAAATTGATTCTTCTTCAACTGGTGATTTGATGACATTCAAGTTCAGTAGCATAATTTCTTTAAGTACTACCACGTCGAGGATGTTAAGTAAAATTGAAATTTTCTATCAGGAGTGAAGATGGAATAATCAATAGATTAACGATTTCTGAGCATTTGTTAAATCTATTCACCCTGACCCATAGGTTTTCTCTCTGTCTCTCCGTAATTTGCACTCAAACTACCCCTAGCACCTCTGCTCTAACTCTCAAGTAACAAAGAGCGAGAAATTGACTTTACTCCGCCTGTTCCTCCCTATTCTGACTGCTCCCTTTCAGTACTGTCGACTCCCCCCCCCCCTCTACACTTGCTTTCATTTCCAATTATTCAATAAACCTGAGCTCCGATATCAGGCCCTCCATAAGGACTTTATAATAAGCTGGTGTTTGGAAGATCATTGCTTTATTGGGGAGATGTCTGAACAAGTTTAGCCTGGCAGTTAAAATTGATTCAGTTAGAATTGGAGTCACCTCACTTTTCAATGTTATTTTGATTTGTCATGATTGCAAGTGCGCAAAAATAATGAACAGAACAATTGATTTATTAAATTGTTTCATTTAATTAGTACTTTTTAGTATTAAATGGAATGTTCGTAATATTCGGCTTAAAATTTATTTATATCAAATGCCAAGCGTTTTGATAGTTGCCATTAGCCCTTTAGTGAAAAGAAGTCGAAAGTCCAAAGATGTAAAAGAGACGGACACAAAGCTAGAAAAGGTGAGGTAAGTACTGTGAAGTAGTCGAATAAGACCCAGTGGAGACATGGTAGTTTGAAGTCAGAAGCCAGTTAATAGAGTATAAAGACTATGTCCAAGAGATGTCAGTTCAACAAAAATCAATCTGAAAGAATATTTCTTTCAAATGAAACAAGTATAGAGTAGCTTTTCAGAGAGCAGAGGTTATTATAAGTGTACTCTAATCATTTAAGTAGACACTCTATCTTGTCTTTACAAAGTTCATCTTTATTGCAATTTTACTTCCTATGAAAAGAATACTAAATTAATCCATGCAGAAAAAGCAGTGAGCTAAATTGAAGACTAACAGAGAAAACTCGATTCCAAAATTTATTCCTTATAGGATAGATTCGGTGACCTGTAACCATTACGTACGGCTAAAAGCAGATAATGAGTTTCGTTTCAACAACATCTTCAAGCTCTCTGGTTCAAAGGTTATTTCGAATTTATATTACATCAGTTTCCATGTGTAAATGCAAATATTGCAAACGAACATATCAAGAACACGTATTACAAAGAATGAGAGTGACATTTTACAGATAATTTAACTCAAAACACCATATCTCAAGAAGTCAAAATGCAACGCGGAAGATAATTAATAAAATTATATTCATTTACTACTACAAAGGGGCATTTCAAAAACGAAATAAGACGCTCTGAGGCAGAAGTTCTGTAACTAGTGTATCGAAAGCAAGTTGGGGTTAGTGAGGTGCCTCGTCTATGAATTTGCGTCTGTAAAATGGAATTCGAGTAACAACAACGCGCCAATCGATAAAGTAAATGGCCAAAATAGCAGCTCCAGCTCCATATGTTGCGATTGGACGACCCCAATTTCGAGCAAAATTTTGGGCCACTTGCAAAGTGCAGCGAAGTGATTTAGCTGTCTTGGGTGAAAGAAACATTTTTTCCATTCTAAAGAAGAGTAAAAAATGAATCGATTAATCATATAGTATTTAAGCGATAGACAACCAATCATATGTAAATCAATAAATGTACAAAATCGATTGAATGATTACACGAAGTACACTCAAAAGCTAGCACAAAAGCACATAGCATAAAAGTGCAATTACATAATAATAAATCAAATAAAAATGCGATTTATTGCATTGTTTAATCGCATTTCCAAATTCAATGATAATCTCACACAAGGATACAATCAAAATTAGACGGCAAACAAGGACGACTTATAACACAGGCTCATAAGACAAACTATATATTTCTACTGAATATTTGAAATCTAAAAATAGTTCAACGACTTTTTGATGTTAAAATTTAATGAGAACAAATTTTGAATAATAATGGATTAATAGAAGAACTCATTATAAATTTACACACTGATATATATCTAATCACATTTAACGTAGTTCAAATTATTTCATTACCTTAAACATCATGCAAATTAATTTAACTAAGGGATTAACTTATCATGCCTTAATGAAATGATGACACTGATGGCTGCTTTAAAATACTTTTAAGATGGGCTTTTATTTCATCTAATTTTACTGTTACATTTCAACATTCCTTGGAAAATTTTGATTTATAGGCTTATTTGCATATTTTTAGGGATATACTAAAACGTTTAGTTCAATCGATCTGCCATGTACTCTTCTTGGTTATGGCAAACTTCTTCTGTTAAATCGAAATGAAATAAAGTTTGATGAATGAGAATAGTTTTCTATTGTTAAAATCCAATTTAAGTTCATAAAAAATTTCTTACCCCTTCAAAATATTTGATGTCGTGTTAATTTCATTTAATAAAGCAGATTGAACTACAAGTCATTATAGATTAGAAATGGCTTATGACAAAATTACCGTAGGGGGAATTTTCAAGTGCTCTGTTTGTGAAAAAATGTAAGTAATTAAAAACTATCTTTCCATTGTCTAGTGCGTTCGTAGTTGTCTTTAATTCTTTTGTATCGCTTTTTATATTTTAGCGTTTCAATTTGCCTTAGCCTTCACAGCTGTGATATTTCTAAACCTCATCGTCTCATTTGCCTCTTCAGTTTTAATATAACTTTTCCGAAAGACCAATAATATACCTCATAGTTATTCAAATTAAACGTTTTATGTCCCGTGGTCTTAAAAATATCAACATGGTAAAATGACGTACGCCAAGAAGCATTTAAAACTTACGATATAAGGCCAATGCTAATATTGGAGAATGAGGTGTACATTAAGATCACAGAGTAGTAAATCTTATCAAAAGTGATCAAATTGCACGAATCCGACAGTACAACGTTTGCCCAATCGTGTGGATAATCGGAATAATATGAAGGATACTTTGTCTATATTAATATACAGGTAATATATAAATTTCCAATGATCTTTAAATATTACGTAAATCAAATTTTAAAACCGGGTAAATTAAAATTCGCACGAGCCTAGCATTAATGCTCTTACTGAAGCTCACAACTATCCATCCAGCAGTAAGAGTAAATTATGAATGAAAAATAGCCTAGCCTGTAACGTTCTATTGGGTCCAAAACCAGTCGAGATTGCTCAAATTTAGTATCTTAGTAAATCACATACCTAATTTTTGACATATCATTGCGAAAATACTCGAAAAATAGCCTATTGAGCAACGTTATGTTATTTTAAAAAAACAAACCTATGAATTAGAACTCTTCATTGTTGAAATCTTGAAAATATATTGTCAGATCTCTTCCCTCTCCTCCTTCTTCAGAAGCTATTGTAAGGTACCAATATCAATCCCTGATAATAGGTACTTCTAATTATGGGCTGCGTGATTTCGTTATGCGCATCGAGTCGTACATACTTTTAATTCAGGTATTGTCAAAATCCTACTTTGGCTTTTCAAAATAGGCTTATTCTTAGTATTTGAAGACTTAATTTAGATGGGTCGGGCAATTGAAAACTCTATACAATTCCCAAATTATATGATCATTTAAAGGACAAAACAAAATATAAACAATGAAGCATTCAAATAGAACTTAAAAATCAAGGAAAGTTATTCAAATTTAATGGAGGATATTTGCTTACTTTAAGTATTTATGTATTTTTTGTGTTATTAAAGTTGTTTTAAATATTAATAACTTATAATTCATGAGACATTAGAAAAATATTAGATTTATTGCTTAATGTAGGCATAATTAGCTAGGTGAAATATTTTTTAAGAAAAGGTTAAATTTCAAATGCATTTGCAAAATCGGCAACAACGCGGCTATTATGTGTCAAGGTGGCTTTTCTGTGAATGATGTCCACTAGCGAAAGGTCAAATTCATTACCACCTGATTATGTTCTTGTGCCTAATAGACTGCATCATAATGTATCGAATTGGTCACTCTGCGATTTAGATAAGATAGTCAGTGCTCTAGAAAGGTATTTTAAATTTTGTTTACATTTTTTAGAGATAATATGCTATCAATGGACGAGTTACATCTACTTTTGCCTAACATAAAACCGGAAGAGGTAATTCGTAAATTAATCTAATTTTTTGTTTTAGATTGATCAGCTTATAAATTTTTGCCTTTCAAATAACAAAGCTGACTTCCCCGATTATATAGAATCCGATCCCGTTGTCTTTGAAGAAAATTCTCTAGAGGTATGTGTTTAACCGTAACTCCTAAATCAATTCTTTAAGATAGCGAAAAATAGCATTAGGGCCGTTTCTTCACCTTTACTTGCTCCTGGATCAGCCGTTTCTTCGGTAATTCTAAGTTCAGTTTGTTTAACATATATTTAGGTTTTAAGCGATATCGCCAAAAACGAGTGCGATAAGGAATTGGCAACCATGTGCAATGCGAAAAATTTATGTGGACAAAGGGGTCTGATTTCGCCTAATTACGCTCGAATATACACTTATTTATCAGATTTATTCAATTCTTCACATTCGGGGCATAATCTTGAAAACCAAGATATTGTGGCTATAGTCGACATGATCTATTGGTAAGTGTGACTATTATTAGTCTTGTTTTTTTATTAAAAGAAACATTTTAAATAAATTACTTTGTTTGCAGTCTTCTTCAATCAGCGGATTACTTGGTGAATCAAGTTTCTTTCTCTGATTTGGATCTTGCTTTTTCCGATATCATGGATAAAATTGGAATCCTTTTGTCTGCCATTTCTAGTTCATATCATCATCGTTGTGTATTTTTGAAGAGAATGACGAACCTGCCCATTTACGACATCGAGAGTCTTGTGGAAAAATTTCCCACTGATAGCATTGCCATGGCAATGTGTCGAGTGAACTCGTTACCGTATACTGCGCCTATGCTAGTAATGAAAGAAACCCAGCTTCCTTGTGATATCACGAAGTGCTTGCGTTTGAAAGCTGCTGTCAGGAATAAGTTTGAGGAGTACTGGGATTGTGAGTTTTCTTTCTAATGTCAAATACTATATTCACTGTATGCAGTTTCTAGCAAATTATAGTGGGCCAATGTGATGTCGATAGGTCTCATTTATATATCATTGTTTCGGTGGTTCTTCTGAATAAGGAGGTTGGAAAGTTCCGACGAAGTCTTCTTTATACGATAAATACGGGCATTTGCAGCCTGAGTTATGGGATATCTGGTTAACCGGTAATGTGGGGATAGTCTAAGGGCAGCGCTAATAAAAGATCTTATTTCTTTCCTTATCTTATGTGCCATCTCAGTCATGTCTTTCTGATTTTTCTGCTTATAGTTAAATATTTTAATGAAGATGATGGTGTGGAGAAGGTGCAGAAGGAGTTGGCAGCTTTTTCAGTAAATCCCTTTGGATTGTCAATGGAAACTGTGCCCTCATTACAGAAGTACTTTGACTCTCTCAACTCGTCCATGAGTCAATTTGAGAAAGCCGTCTCTTCTCGTGCCGCTTTGTCTTCATCTGTGGTTAATCCTGATTCCAATTCGGTGTAAGTTACAAGTTCTTTTTTCTTTTCGTATTTTTTGCGTTTTCAGGAAAGTTTTTTCCTCTTCTATAACTTAGAACTTTGAGTCACCATACTTTGTAACTTTTAGTTTTTGAATCAAAAGAAGGTAAAAATTTTACTAATCAAAAAGGTTGAACGTTTGGTGGAATTTTGAGCTCTGTATCTCTAAAGCTGGTACTAGTACTACCATCCAATTTCATTTTTGTTTTCACGCTTTTGAATTTTCAAAGTACTCCTTTATGCTTTAATAAAACTTAGATCTTTTTAGATTGTAAATTGAACTATTTCTCTATTTTATGATGATTTAAGGAAATGAGATTTAACTTTATGCACGGTTTCACAAACATGTATTTCACAATTCGGATTGTTTCTTTTTGAAGTAGAAGGCTTCTATATCGAGTTGCTCGAATATTTTTTCGAAATGTGTTTATAATTATACTTGGTAAGCTTAACCACTGTAGAGAGAAATATCTTATTCATCCACCTCTCTCTCTTGAACAATTTGCATTTGCCTTTCACTACCAAATTGCCGAGTAGAAAGTATTCTATAACCCTTCCTGAAGCCTCTCTCTCTCTCTTAGAAATTTAGGCATCTGTCAAACTAGAGATCACAGTCGGGTTCCCAAGTTAGGTTATTTGGGTCTACATATACCATGCCCACATTTTTCGGTAAAATGCGGTTATCTTTAAGCGCCAGTAATTGCAAATCTTGTTAAATATTCTTGGGGTGTTTTTATTTTAGACACAGGTCTCTGATTCAATCTGCTGCTAAACTCATTGCCAAATGCCAGCCCTGCAGAAACGTAAGTATCTTAACTTTTACTGCTTATTTGTAATAAAAAGTCTAATATAAATGTTTTGTGGAATAGAAATAAAGAAGCTATGAGAGAGGTCTGATCTTAACTATTTCACTCTGAACGCTCACCAGAGATTTCTAATTTAATTAAGAGTTTCTAATCGTATTTAATTTTTTTTTCATCCTGCGTTTTGTTAGTATTTGCCAAGTGGCAGTGGCACGAGCCTCATAACCACTTAATGAATGGACAACAGGAGTTGTGGGGGGGGGGGGGTGGTGTAGCTACGACAAGTCTAACATTTCCTTTTGCCACTAAAATCTGGGAGGGTGATGCCCACGAAGTTAAATTGAGCTAGGGCATTGGATGTAATCCACTCATAAATTTATTTGTCTTCTTCTAGCACATTGACTACTCTTTATTTAAATATGCCTTCTTTACCTTTAGGGCTTAGTAAGGCGTGTGAGTGAACCTGTCGATCGAAGTGAAATTGACAAGTTCTTTAAAACTGTGAGTTTTTTGTTCTCTATGTAGTACTCGTATGCCTCATGATTAACGAACGCACTGTGCATATTGTTCATTAGTTGAATGTTTCGCGTACGATTGCCAAACCCTTAACTGAGAGAAGGAGGTCCCATTCTGTGAGCCGCTAATTTTAAAAATTACTATTATGCGCTTCCACATCTAACTTCTAATGTCTTTCTTTTGTACTAGAAAAATTCTTCAACCTCGTCAGGTCAGCCTCCATCGAAGATGTACAAAAGAGTTCCCTAGACGTTTTCAACATTTTGTGATGATGTAAATTTATGTAAAATAGTCTATAACAATTTCTTCTCTTGGCTTCATTACTACTAACGTAGATATTCTATTTATTTATCTCCCATTGCAGGCAATTACAATGGTAACGGACATAAAGAGGGTGTATGTTCGCAATTTATGAACAAATTGTAGAGTAGGTAGTTTAAATGAGAGTTAGTAGTTATGAGATTCTGACCGGCAAAGTTGATATGATTTTGGAGCCATCATATTTTCGTGTATTCCTACTAGCACATATCCACTGGACAGAGAGGTATACGAGGTGGTAGATCATCCTTGTGGTTGTGGTGAGCGGTCAGTGCTCTCTGATCTTACACTCAGTTGCAAACCATCGATGGCTCCGAAAATCCGTATAAGTCCACATTTCAGACATGGCCGGTCCCGGTAATGACAATGAATAGAATACCTTGAAAGATTCATCATCCAATTTTCACTTTCCATGGAGCATCTAATTATCGTCCGTTTAAATTTATCTTAATAAATTCCATTCGAACAAATTTATGGACTCCTATTTTGATAAGTGAAATTTCTGTAGCTTTACTAATGTTATCTAATGAGCGCGATTTTCGTTATTGTAGTTGTGAGCTAAAGTTTTTCGAAAGCTATTTTGCTGCTGGGACACGAACACCAATTTGTTTACTGGTGTATAATTCTGGCATCTACTAGCATTCTAATAATGCCCTTCTCATAAAGTCATAGGCTTCCCCTAGTTGAGTTGCAGCCTTCAATTTCAGATAATTTGCAACTATGAGTACAAGTATGTAAACATCCATTAGTGCAAGTGAAAAATTCGCTGCTTTCATTCCTGTAGATGATTTAATAAAAAGGACCTTATCAAAAGTGTTTGAGGTCGCGAAAGAGAATGTTGGACCTGTGGAGTGTGCATCGCTAACAAAGCTGAACAAAATCGTTCTCGTAATGTTCTGGTCGAGAGAGCAGTAGCTCTCAGCCAACCAGCAAACAATAGTCTCTTCACCCTAATTGTATTTTAATGGCATTGTGTCAAGGCTATATGACTGTATTTATTTATTTCAAATGGCAGGCGTTTTGGTAGTTACCATTACCCATTTAGCTGACTTCGGGCTTCACAGAGAGGAGGAGGAACATCAAAGTGGCAAAAAGTCGAGAGGGGGGACAGAAAAACGATTCACAGATGTAACAGAGACAGACAAAAAGGCAGAGAATAGGTAAGATATGTACTTTGGAAGGGGTCGGATATGACATGCAGTCGGGCCATGGCAGTTTGAAGTCAGAAGTCAACTGCCAGTTAATAGACCTTTTAGCCGTATGAGTATACGTTGCCCAGGGTGCACCACGTGGAGGTAAGTCTGTCGCACACCCCGACTATATAACTGTAGTAAACAATATTCACTCCATAAGTTTTACGTTAGGATTTTTATCAGAGACGATAGCCTAGAGTAAGCTAAGGCTTATTTGTATTGTATCAGTTGGAAATATGTACGATCTAAAGATTGATGGGAAAAATAGTGTTTATTCAGCTTCAATTTTGAGTCATTTGAGGGTACTATCAATCATAGTTGCTTGAGAAACTACTATTCGTAAATAATAATACAAATATATCCTTTCTTTTTGACGCGGTGTCTTTCGAAGGAATATCCAGTTATCTTGTGGGGACTGAAGAGACTTCTTTTTGTCTACCTTTCTCACTCTGGGAGTCAATTAATGCTGAAGGACCGAGGGATTCCTCCTCTCTTTTCTATTTCTAATCAGATTTCTCCCGGTTATCTCTTCATTCGTTTTTTCCGCCTCCAGCTTGTTTCAAAGAGACCATCAAGAATGTGCAAAAGGCAATTTCTAACTTTGGTATTGTATATCTTGAAAATTCCTATTCGATCTCTTTCAGTTCTGGTTGTGGAATTCCGTCTGAAATTTGTCCATCATAAGTATATCCATCATTGCCTCTCATCATGGTTCATTTCTAAACTATATAAAGATGTTCTACTGGTGAGGAAGCATTTATTCATTTATATCAAATGGCAGGCGTTTTGACGGTTATCATTAGCCCTTTAGTTGACTTCAGGCTTCACAGAGGGAAGGAAAATTAAAATGAAAAAAGTCGAGGCAGGGTATGAGGGGGAGGAACAGAAGAATGTTTCAAAGACGAAGGTAGAAAAAAAGTGAGGTGAGTACTGTGGAAGTAGTCGAATGACATACAGTAGGGTGATGGTGGTTTGAAGTCAGAAGTCAACTGTCGGTTGAAAGACTTTTTTGCCGTATGAGTATATGTTGCCCAGGGTGCACCACGTGGAGGTAAGTCTATCGCACACCCCACTGGTGAGGAAGTAGTATTAAGTAAAAATATATCATTCATTTCAGCCGGTATTCCCCCTCCCAATGGTTCTTTCACTTATTCTTCCTTATTAGATCCTCCTGGAAATCTTCGTATTTCGCCTATTTTTTATGTTTTATGAATCACTGACTGTCCAGTTCCCTTTATCCCTCATCGCTCTATTCTATGTCTAATGCATACCTTCGAATGCTCTGTTTAAGTTGCATCAAAAATATGCAGATAACCAGGTTTCGGTGTTCAAATCGTCCCGATTCTTGCTTTCAAGGGTCGAAGGAACCAACATGGGAGTTAAAGCTACTTCTGTTGATTTGATAATAACTTATGAGCACATGTATCCCTAACTTAAATCTAAATTGCTATGGGTCCTCGCCTTAGACTTTACTAAGGTAGTAATCCGCTACACTCTTCTGTCCCTCCTCTCGAATTTTTCCCACTTTGATGTTTCTCCCCTCTGTGAAGCCGAAGTCAGCTAAATGGCCAATGATAACTATCAAAACGCCTGCTATTTGAAATAATTTTTTCCCGATCTGAGTTATGTTGAAGAGAAAATAGTGAATCCCAAAAATTGAAGGAGTTCACTTCTTTTGTAACGAGTGTAGGGTACTTGAATTTATTGTTACAGCAGAAATCATTATGAGCAAATAGTACAAGTTAGCATTCCTGAGGGACCACAATTCTAATGGCTTAAATGCAATATTTTAAAAGTACACAAGCTGACTTTCACCCAAACAAAAGTACTTGCAGCCATAATTTGGTAGGAAATAGTAATATGAAAAGTAAATTTTAATTTGAAATTAACAATGCCTCTGTGGTACGATATATTCAACTTAATTACTGAACATAGCGTTCTTTTCAGCAGTTTTAATTGGTTCGAATGATCCTATTAAGGCGAATACAATCAGCGAACACAACGCTTTGCAAGCATAATTGAGTACATCCCTTTCCACCTTCGCCTGTGTGGCAAGGATTCCAGAGGATTTTATATCCATCATATCAAGCCCACTCCTCACAGAAAGCATTCCGCTAATTCGATTTCAAGGCGAAGGAACAGTTAACTAGTTACTTGACTTAAGTTTTTTTTCACTATATTAAGTCAATTAAATCAGAAGTTTCCACGAAACAATTGGATAAAAGACGCAGAGTTCAATAAATTGAGTAATTTGGAAATTTTTACCATCAAACCCACGAGTTCTGCATAGTCTGACAAACGATTGGCGCCACTTTGTCCGCAAGACTTCGATGGCTAGAGAATTGGAAGTGCGCCAGTCAGTTAAATGCCAACTAAACGGGCAGGCTGGTGATTGCTCCCTGAAGGCAAAGATTGTATGAAACCATATTAAATCAACATAGCAGAGCCCGGTGTTACCTCCCATTACTCAGTGCCTTTCCTCGTCTCAGTCAAATAAAAAGCATTTATACGCTTGAGGTGAATGTTTCGTAATCAGATTGCCAATATCAACGGCTTCCACAGACTGGACCTTCCCTAAAAAGTGAGCAATATATATGCATTGGCTAGTGCAACTAATTAAAAGGGAACTTCATATATTGAAATTGCGGGGTGTGCGATGGACTTACCTCCATGTGGTGCACCCTGGGCAACGTATTCTCATACGGCAAAAAAGTCTACTAATCGGCAGTTGACTTCTGACTTCAAACTATCATCGACCCACTGTATGTCATAATCGACTACTTTCGCAGTACTCACCTCACCCTTTTTATACCTTTATGTCTGCCCCTTTTACATCTTTAAAACACTTTTCTGTTCCCAAACCCTCTCGATTTTTTTGCCTTGACGTTCCTTCCCCTCTGTGAAGCCTGAAGTCAATTAAAAGGCTAATGATAACTATCAAGATGCCTGCAATTTGGTGTAAATATTAAAATTGCAAATTCACTTAGACCTTTCTAGTTATAGCAAAGGCATATAGACGCATACAAATACTAATCCTCACAATTAAGAATTTTCACCTGGGTACGCACCTAAGTTCTTGACCATTGATAATATTTAACCTTCACATATCTCCACATCATAACAATAAGTCCTCAGAATAGAATTTCAAAGTACAACATTAGATGTAGTTTTCTTCAATGCCTCTTGGCATAAATATTAATTGGCGTTCAGGAATGAAGGAAATTAATACGATCAAACAGAGAATCTTCAGATATCAGCGGAGAGCATATCATCGGGGATAACCACCTGTTCGCCTGGTTTGAACGGAGGTAGACCTCTATAAGGACAAGAGGAACACCGGAAAGCATCGCCGAGATAACACTGGAACAGAAAAATATTGATTTAGTAATAATGGCAATCGACTAAATGAGATAACTGCAAATCGAATAATGACACCGCACATACGAAACATAAATAATAAATGGAAATCCTAAGGACAATAAAAAGCGTTGACTAGAAGAGTCAGCCGTTCCCATTAATAACTTACGAATCGAGTCGACCACTTACCGCGTAAACAGTACTGAATTATTAATAGCAAAAGATGGAGTGGACAAACAATTCATCCCAGAGCCACAGTATCAGAAATTGGTCCATTTGCCATAATTTTAACAATACAATGCAAATCAGGCGTAGGCCTAATAACCCCGGCAAGTCACGGCATGGCAATTTCGATCTTCAATCATCAACTGATTGATCATTTTTTCGCATGAATCATTTATTAGATCAATCTCCAACTAATAATAACCCAAAAAACCAAAATCTTTGAGTATGAATTGAATTTTAGCAAGGTCACGTTGTTAGACCAGTCTAATCTGTTTCTCTCTAGGGGATCCGAGTAACACAAACATAATGTCATCTTTGACTAGACAGAGTAACAGATTCCTACATCGTTTTGAGCGACACGAGTAACTGACACTTATAAGGCTTCCCATGCTCATTAGGGGGTTGCTCATGAATAAAGAAGAATCTTTTTTGCAAGAAATTCATATCCTTCAACCTTTCTAATTGGCTAGAATTAACTAGGGCAGTCGGACAACTACGCTTCTGGATGTGCACCGAGGAGAACCGCTCATCTTCGACTTAAAAGGTAGCCGTGCTCTATTATGCTAATTAATTAAATCCATCACTAAGGCAATAATTTTGCAAATCACATTACTGATATTATTTTTTTAAAAAAATCATTTCTCACAGCACAAAAGTTAAAATTTCTCAAAGCAGACACCAACCCGATGGATTATGACTAGCCAACTCACTCGAATCAAACAGGCTGAATTGCCATCAAAGTAGCGACTGAAGTAAAGACCGTTATAAGCACTCATGTTAACAATTATGACATACATATTTCCGTGCCCACAAAAGGTAGTGGATTCCGAAACTTTAACGATACATTCTGCTTGATATTGTCTTGGTCTATCTCGACTATGACTATGACCTGTGGTGAGGATTGAAAGAAGTTGGAAGAGTACTAGCTCTGTAGGATCTATGAAAAGTCATCACTTACCAGCCCCTTCAACAAAAACCTCCCCTTATTTAAAGTTTAAAGTCCCAACTCTATAAGTGATATTTCTATTCTCATAAATAGGAAATAATTTAAATAATTTACGTTTCCACAACTTGACTTGACACCAGCAGTTGCAGCCTTCTCCGCTTCTGCAGCAGCTTCTTCTGCTTCAAGTTTGGCAAGGCCACAAGTGCAGTTCTTACAAGCTCTCTTTTTCTTCACACCACCGCTCGCGGCTGTCGGTTCACCACATGGGGCCACAGGGGGAGGTGCAAGGTCAGTGGCTGTGAGGAGCTCTTCTGTGTTGACCAAACTAGCCCCCTCCTCACCCTCCACAGCATCCCAGATATCGTCAGAAACGGTATTGTCATCCACTTTTGCCCATGGCAACTTGGCACTGGCACCAGTCTCGTAGGGCAGAGAAGCACTAAAGCAAACGCAGCCACTCTCGCACTCAATCTGACAGAGAAAATAAAGGAAGGATATGAAATTTTGGTGTCAAAAATTAAGATATGATTAAACTGGGATTTTCAGTTTGCACATTTGCAAGTAATAAAATAAAAGTGAACAATTTTGCCATAAAATTCACCTCCGACGTAAGAAGCTTAGCAAAGAAATAATGATCTTCCACGTTGAACTACTGGATGACGGTCCTCTTAGTTCTGGTCGAAAACAAACTTAAGAGAAAATTTTCATATGCATATAACCAACAGAAAGAAGTCAAAATTTAAGTTTAGGGTTCCAAGAAAGATGGACTATAATCCACTTCAATAAATAAATAAGCGTTATTTCTTTCGATGCAGACATTTCGTTTATTAATTAAAAGTATTGCCTAAATCACCTACAATGGATCATGATAGCATTACAAAAAAGATAAAATTGATTCGCGCAGATTAGGTGGTGAAACAGAGCTATTGGAACAGGTAAGAAATAACTATACACCAAATAAAAGCTGCGAAATGGATGGGAGTGATTAAACAAAATTATAAAAAAACAGATTGAATGACAACAAACCAAGTAATACTGGATAATAAAATGCTATGGTGAACAAAATTATAAACGGGTAGACGGGAAGTCAATATAAAAAAAGATATGAAAAATTGAACAAAAGTGGATCAGGACTCACAAATTTAATATCAACGAGACCACTGAACAAAGCAGATTTTCTTATCGATTCAACAGTTTTAGCAAGATCTCCATCGACAATTCCCCGATAAAAAAGTCGTCCTCCAACGGGCATTTTGGCAACAAGTGTTGAGAAGAAAGTAAAGTCGTGTTTTTCGGCGGGGAAGGCGACGGGCCAACCAGTTAAAATAACCGAACCAGCAACAGCCGACGAATCTTCTTTGAATTTATCAAAATTCTCAAGCTGAACACTACCATCAGTGACTTTGAATTTGAGCGTTTCAACAAGAGACTTCATGGATTCATTTGAAGGAGTGGACTGAGAAGAGGAGTGACCCCAGATAACAGTTACTGTATCGGAGGATCCGAGTTCCTTCAAAATTTCTGAATTCATAATCTGTAGAAAAATAAACTTCTTGAAGAATATTCAAATCAATGATTAGTAGATAAAGTGTAAAATTTGAGTATTAAATGGCAGTATCATAAGCAAGAAGAGCACCCACGCAGTAATGGATAGAGCACAATTTACGACCTGGCTAAGTAGACTAAACCAGACTTCGAAGAGGTTTATTGTGGTTGGTTAAAATAATGACAGATGTAGCATAAAAATTTTGAAAAAAAGACTTAACTATCCACGCATATATCACTTATGAAGATAAGATATTTGTATGCTATTATTTTCGAAAAAATACAAACTTAATTGAGTTGAATATCTGTTATGGTAGAAAGTAAGCATACGCGTTATGGGAATATTTATAAACGCAAATATAATATGTTGAAAAGAAGTAGAAAATTCATCCCCTAACAGTAATTGCCCATCACCTTCCACTGTCCCTTTTCTTACAGAAAAGAAAAATAATAATTGAAGCGATTTCATTTCGTTCAAGGTGGCAATGTGCTATCATTTCTATAAAGAGACATAGGGAGACATTAAGATATATTAATCAATCATCGTATGCTTAGAATTTTTTCATTGCTGACTAAATTCGGTATTATAGATTAAATTTTTATTTGCCTAAGATCTACTTTCTGAAAAATCGCAACCAATCCTAACTCCATTCCCTTTCATTGTTAATTTGAAATAAAAACTGAAATTTTGTAAGAACCTTGAATTCCTCGACGAAATTCTCACTTTTACCAAACATTTTGTCTTTTTTATTAAACGAAAATTTTATGTAATTTACTAAGCAATGTAAGTGTGTTTCAAGGCTGTCTTTCTTCACACTGTTATGGATCGATTTCAGATTCTAACACGTTAAAGAGACTGATCAACAAAGCTTGATGGTTACCTATGTTTCGTTTTCACTGTTGACTCGCCATTTTTCATACCGCAGTAGACGATTCAATCACATTCCCTCTCACAAAGAAAAAAAATGCAAAGTGCAAAATCATACATTTATTGAAAAAATGAAAGCATTGTTAAACTTCGGCCAACAAGTGCCTTCGTCCAAAATTCTCAAAGGACTTCGAAATGGATTTATACTAACCAACGAAAGAGACTTCTCTGCATTGTCAATATCAAATTCAGGGCACAAGCCCAACGACTGTAAAGTTTTGAGGTTCCACATACATGAATAAGGACACGAGTCAGTAAAGAATGCTGGCAACTTCAAGTTCTAATAATAAGATTAGTAAAATCACAATGGAATGACAGACCTTTAGCAACTCAAGAGTCTGTTTCCAAGTTGGATACGCTATAAATCCTACATTGAAACCTACAAGAGGGTAAATTTTATTCGAAATTCCACCTTACCAATCACTACATCGGCAAAAGTAAGCTCCGGGTAGACCTTATACTCTTCCATAAAATCATGGTAGACTCCACGCCAGACAAATATAGACATACGAGAACTGAGCAACCACGTTTTATAAGATGCTCGAGGGGATATGTTAGGTCCAATCATTTTGATTGTAATACGCTCAATGTTTGGAGATATTAAATCATCTAATTGCTAAAGTCAGTATCAAAACATGAGAGTAATTAAATCACCTTAAATACCGGAAGCAAATCCAATTCTGTTTCAACACCAATCAAATGAATTTGAAGAGTTTTCTTTTCCAGAAATCTATGAACTAGTTGATCATCTAGTTAATAGAAATTATCAAAGCACAAATACTTCTTTCGAAAAATGTCCTGAGTATATGATACATAGTTAGCGGCCAATAGCTAATGAACGCAAAGGGTGAAGAGTAAGGAACCTTTACCAAGTTGTAAAAATCCGACCAATTTTGCAGATTAACAGTAAATAGATCCCCAGATTCTTCAATTAAGTAATGACGAGTAGAAATTGCTTTTACGCATTCGGGTATAACGTATGCTCTTCGACATGCGTCATTGCTAGCATCTGTGTTCTGACTCCATTCCAATGACCCGGCTTCATAGATTAAACCAAACCAGGAATTCAACTCATCTCCAGGTCCAGAACCAGAAGTACTGAAAAGATATTTCCACAGCCCCTTATTATCTAATCCATTTGATCGAAGCAATTCATGCAGGTCTGATCGAGAGAATCGATTATTCGTTGAAACTAAAACATGACAAGTACATAAATTTGACCATACTATCAGTGTAGTTAAATGGAAATTCGCAAAGTTGTACCAACATATCCATAAATAGCTTCATAAATTTACACCAAACTTTATGTGAATGTTCTGGACTAAGCGAATTATTTAAATCTTCTAAACGACAGCCATCCGAACAATATATTACGGCTTCACACTTTGGACTGTAATGGGTGATTAAAAGAGAAACAAATATTACCATGTAATTGCTTTATCTAGTGAAGTCCTAACATTGCACAGGCAGCAATAAGTGAGATTTTGAATGCCTTTTTCGATAATAGATTTTCCCTCGGTATGCTCCATTAACAGTGATTTTATTGTGTTTGTATATTGCGCAAATAAATAAGCCAATAATCAACGCTGAAGGTCGTGCTCGTTCTGATAACATTTAATTATCGCAAAATTTTCGAGTGCAAATTTAAAAAATCAAACTCATATTTCCCTTGCTAAATATATCATAACCAATCTTAAAATATTTTTTGTATAATTTAAAGAACTCTAAGCTCTTGATGATGCTGCCACTCCAAACATGAGTGGGATTTAATTCAATCAAAATTAAGTATTTCGATTTAAGCACTTTGATAAACCAAGTTTAATCTCCGTCATGTGATATGTTGCACTTCACCGCAACGGTGACCTACTTGCCTTGTTAAACTCCATATTTTGTATGCAGGTAAGTTCAAGATGTTGAGACCACTAACAAAGAAGAAAAATGGGGCTTTAGAAACTTCTGTAAAATAATATATGTATTTGATGAAACAGTTACCGTGGTAAAATGGAGAAAGTGGGTAAGTATACCTAAGCTCCGTCCAGTTGAGCTGCGACTTAATTTGCCACCCTAATTTGTCAGAATACTCCCTCTTCTTTACTGTGAGATCAACCTAAATGCACCTCGACTTCAGAAACTAATCATATTTGAATCTATTTTGAATGGGGTGAAAATAACGACGTTGTTAAAGTTAATCAATCTGAAAGTGGTGACGATGTCTATTAAGCGAATTCTGCATTGGGATCAATATGTTAACAGGGAATTTATTATAGAGTTAATTAAACTTGAAATGTTCTATATTTAGCCAATGAAAGGGTTTTAGAAATTTATTTGAAGCCTTATCTCTAAGTAAGTGGAATTAATATAAATCAAATACGTTGATATTTTATTGTCTCTTAAATAAAACTAGATGTAATATAACAAGATTATATGGGGGAAGTAAAGTGAACTGTCAGACGTGTAAAATTCTGGGACATTTCATTAGTCACATCACAATGCACTATACGAAAATATCTCTGAATAGTTGTTTTGACTTAATGTACATATTACAGGAAATGCGTTCTTATATTTTATAATGGAAAAATACAATATGGGGAGATTTTGGGGTAAAATGACATATTTCCAAACATTCAATGAATGTGACTTCCTTGGTTCATCTATTGAAAGTTGTGGGACACTTCATCAATGACCAATAGAAATCCTGCTTACTCAGAGATATTTAGCTAATAATGTTCAAGCGTATTATGCTAAATTTATCTGATAACAAATCCCTTCGCCAAAATGAAAATTCGCTATCAATACACGTACTGAATAGACATATTCCGTGCTACACGTCTGTTTCCTTTATAGCTGGGCTATAGCTAAGCTTGTTCTGGGAGGCTCGCTAGATGTTGGAGAATCTGCCATAGGGATTTCTGAGTCGGTCAGGCTTTACTAAGGTAGCAATCCGCTACAAAGTCATGGATTTGGAATTTTGGAAACTGTACAAGGGGAAAAAAATTACATGAATAGAGCTAGCTAAATATTTTTAAGGGTTTGAAAGGTGTCATTCACATTGTGAAATAAATTTTACGGACTAGAATATTTAATTTTTCACGGCAAACATAGTGTGAGTGTTCCCGAGCTGAAACTCAATGATTTCCAATGAAATTGTAACCTACCTATTTATTCATCGACTGTAATAATGTTCGAAATAAACGTCTTATCGAAGTCAAAAAGTAATGTAATATAAGTAAAACTAAGGGGATACTTGGAAACTTGGTCGAGTTTACTGTCCTCAACCCAGATTTTTACACTATTCACCAAGCCTATCACTTAATCTCGCTGTTTGGTCGAGCAGAGTCACATAATGCCAAGGCATATCTGGTTAATATAAGGGATGAAGTAACTGACACTCTGACTCCGTTAAATACAAACATGCAAATATTATAGGCTCTTCCTATTACGAAGGCTCTGTCTGACCCGAGTAAATGGGCTTAGGCCTATATTTCTTACAAACTGGTTGTTCTAAGCTGGACTATATCATGTCCTCTATTTTAATATAATGAAATGCAATACCGTTAACCTCGGGATGCAGCGAGTAATGTCGGGGCTTTATAAAATGAAACAATCAAAAATGAACTTGAGTGCCAACATCTCTTTCGACTCTGACATCCCTGTTTCTAACATGCACCTGCTACTGGCCAGTTCTAAAATCAAATCTTTCAGCAATTTATATCTACGACACCTCAACTTCCTTCTGTCATTTTTCTTTCCTCTCTTCCTTTCTACTGCTTTTATCAAATCAATGTTGATACTACATCATCATTCAATACACTTTTAACTTAGTGAAGACTTGATAGAGCTCTTCTAAATTGTAATTTTACATAAAATATTCCGGATATTGCTAAAAAATAGTGGAACAATGGAAACAAATAAATGCGGTGCTAGTGATGCTCCATAAGACAATCGACCCTTATTACCTCTAAGGCACCCCTTAATATGAAGCCATTGCTCGCGAAAATTTCAATATCCGCAGTTTCATTTGCAGACGCATTAAGAGTAGGTCGGTACACCTACTTAATTAAAGTACAAACAACATGCTATTTCAAGGGGTATTTTTCATATATTTTTAGCCGACAAAAAGTGGATTTTCCAAAACATACTCTGTATCTTGAATGCAAGTCAGAATAAAAATTTTCAGAAAAACCGAGAGAGGGGTGTAACTATGACTGATATTGCACCAGCTCATGGAAAAATGCCGATAGTGGCACTAGGTATATAAAACCCTCGAAGCCCTGGATTCGTGAAAATTTTCTCGTACTATAAAACGAATACGAGCTAGCTTGTTATAGGACAAAGATTGAGAATGCAAAATTTCATTCTTTAATAACCATTAATCAGTATAGATGTTTATTATGACAAATCAAACAAAGCCCAAAGACTAATCACCGTCTGGCAAAACTTAACCACGTTTTAGCTTCCTAATCAACATGCATGCCAATCGAAACTATATGGACTGCAACATTTTAACATTTCCTATCAAAAATAAACCAACGATCGCACAGTTATAAACATACATCGAGCCTGATTCGTGGTCCGGGTAATCACCACGTCTATCTGACTTCCATCCCACCAACTTACAACCAGATCTTCGCTATACGAATTTCTTCCTAAAAGTTTCTACATACGGCATCTCACCTAAACTAGACCCATATAGCTTGACTTCACTATTATGTTCACTTCACATAAATTAACTGGAAGCAACAAAAAAATTACCGCATGTACATGACAAAATCATTCATAAAATAGCATTTACAGAAACGAATGTTGATCTAAAAAGGAGCTGAGAAATTCCGGCTCATATCTAAAACTTCCAATGGCCAGGAGAGCTCAGCGTAAACAGAAGGGGGTGAACTTTTTGGGAAAGAGTCTTCATCACCAGGGAAATGGTTATCAGCCAGTGACAAGCACATAACTGAACGGGCCGCAAATTGGAAAGTTTTCAAAGAGGAGGAGAAGTCATCAAAAGGGCTTTGAATAAACGCTCCATCTCGAGAAATTTCACCAACGGCCGAAACATAAGTGCCAAGTGATGGAAGTTCTGTGTCGGGTTGAATTTTGACTATTATTGAGCCCGTCCCATCATCCAATAAAAAATAAGAGTTAGATGAAGAGGAGTAAGTTCCCAAAACATGACCTTGGAGCCAGACTAGAGAAAAGAGAAGTTGACGATTGGGTGGAAATGGAACGCTGTGAATAAGTCCTCCGTCCTCCAAACTAGTGCTACCATAATTTAGGTTGGCTAGCTGTCCAATTAGAAGTTTGCGCATAATAGGAGGAGCCTCCTTTGACATCTTACTAACAAATTATACATAAAGTATAAAAAACAACTACTGGAAAAGTTAAAAAAATGATATGACACACAAATAAATAAACGACTCAAAGTTTATCAAATGCAAATCATACAGAAATTGTTAAATGCAAAACATCTCAATAATTCACGACTTTGTGCATTTGGGTTAGGCCAAAAATCCCATGACCTCTCGCATTTTATATGCTCGAGTTTTAGACTAGCTTATTTGATTATTTTTCTGTATTAAAAATTTATTTATTTCAAATGGCAGGAGCTTTGAGAGTCATCATTATTCCCTTAGCTGATTCCAGGCTACGCTGAGGGGAAGGAACATCAAAGTGAAAAAAATCGAGAGGATTGAGGGACAGAACAGTGATTCACAGATGTAAAAGACAGACACAAAGGCAGAGAAAAGGTAAGATTAGTACTGTGGAGGTTGTTGAATATGACGTAACGTAGGGTCATGGTACTTTGAAGTAGGAAGTTAGCTTCCGGCTTATAGACTTTTTTGGCGTATACGTTGCCCAGGGTGCACCACGTGGAGGTAAGTCTATCGCACACCCCCTGTTTCAAAAATAAGGACTGATAATTCTTATTAGTGGCTCCAACCAAAATTTCATAAATGAATTCAAACACAAATAAAATTCATTTTCCAATTAATTCTTACCTTGAAGTGGCTAGTGCTCAAATACCAATATTATTATTTCAGGTTCTTCTTTCGAATGAATAAAGTTTTCTGTCTGAATTTAAGTTTATATTTAGCCAATTTCTACAGAATGGGAAAATGTAAATAATTTAGTTGAACAAATGTCCTCTAGATGAACGGAAATTAAGCAGTGTAAGGAAAATCAAGATTCTAGAAGAGAGACTGGGAGGAAAGAAGTGCGTGTCAGTACTGGGGAAAGTAAACCGAATTTTGACAATCGTACAAAATGAGTCACGACTAATAGTTGACCAATTTCAATCAATATGGTAATTGACGGCCAATTGGCAGTTGGAGCAGAAAAATGAGCCAGAAACTGAGCGATACATCTGGAGTCTGGACAGGCCTGTTGGTCCAATCAAATATGTTCGATAACCTATCACTTCTTTAGTTCCTCACCATACTGTAAGACAGTGAAGATGGGTGTTTTTGTTGAAAGGCTTTATTGAGAACCGAGAGAAACCTCAAGCTAGTAAAAAACGACATAGGAACTGTGCTGTCAGATGGATAGATAGTATAAAATCCGAGCATGCCAAAAGTCGACTCACGTACTACTTAATTCAAACTGAACCATATGCATGCATACAAAGTAGAACAGTGTGAGAATCGAACTGGAGGTTCAGTGGAACCATCAGTATCTCCTGCTCTAGATAGAGTTGAGAGCGCGTAATGGTAAATGGTCATCTGCTCTTAACATCCATAATCTTTAATGCATCTTGTTCCAAATTTTGAACATCTTATAGACTTTATGCCCTTTCATATTTACTGCTTGTCTATATGATGTGCCTTTCTACACAAGGAAAAGGGGTACATTTGTGAGTAAGTCGAAGAAACTTGGAAGTGACCTTAATGTGGTTTATTTTGGTAGTCGAAGGCCCCATAGTGTTCTTCTGAGTGAACCGTGACCTTACATTGGCAATTGTGCAACAAATGCAATTTTGAGGAACTCGAGGAGAAATACTTCAAATAAATCGCCTTTAACAATATTATTATCTTAATTCTCTATTGTTCTACTCTGTCCCATTGTTACTATAGTGATTCCAGCATTATCACTATACTTTTGAAATCAATTTGCTGGGTGCTTAAACCCATTTGCCTGTAACCTATGCTAATGAGCTGTGCCTTAAAAGCTAAGCCCACTATACTAACCCAGTAGGGAGCATTTAATTACCCCTGAGCGATCTAAATTTGAGTGGATATATAACATAAATGAAATAAATAAAAGGCGAAGTTGAATGAAAAATTTTCTATTAAAAAGCAGCAACTCCAAAATGACCAATGGTCTCCACTTAGGCAGGACTTTTCGAGGTGGGTTGAAGTGAGATGGATGTAGATGCATCAGAGGGTATTTCACAACGCCACAAACCATACTCCTCGCCCACTTTCGATTGCCACAACCGAACTGTCCCATCTTCGCTTCCACTAGCAAAGAGGTGACCGTCGGGCGAGAAACGCACACAGTGCACTGGACCAAAGTGGCCACGACAAGTGTCTACAAGGCAGGATAGATGTACCAATAATTAATTCCGAAAATAAGGCCTTTTCTACACTGTTGCCACTCTAAATTTTATATTTCCTTCATATTATTATTGGGAATAACACCTATCCCTTAAATCATTACAACTGAACTGGAATAATTTTTTTCAATAATAGCAATGAGACGTGCTTTCCATCTTCCTAGCTTGAATATCAGTTTGTAGATTGTAAGTTTTCACTGCTATGAAATATTTCATCCGGGGATATTATAAAGACAGTTAACTCAAACTCATCGAATGAGAGGAGTACAAATTCAAATGGCAGCAGCAAATTAAATGAGACACAAGAGAATAGAGCCATACTAAGGAAACAGAATATTCAACAAAACAGTATTGAGACAATCGGCTCGAAAAGAGTAAATACACTTAAGTCAAAATTCGTTTCCTTACGCGTTTCCCAAGTAAAATTGAATTTCTGGAACCGAATTATGTCGACTTCACAGGTGTTTGAATCGGCTATTATCATTTTCAAAGCGACACATGAAGTACTTAATGATGCAGCGACTTCAAGTTCCTCTTTAAAAATAATCATATGTTCTCAAGGGGTCTATTTCATTAGTAGGATAAGACACTTAGGTGATGCTTGAGGAAGCATTACTCGGATTCAGTTTCATATATTACCGATGTCCAGAACTATTCACTGTTTATTCAACACCTTATTCATGAAACAATACAAAACGCGCACACAGACATGACTGTCATTTATTTGCCAGACTTAACCAACGAGGATGATGAATGGGGGATCGTGGCCGAATATGGCGAAAAATATGAAACCGACAAGCAAATTAAATTTTTATGAGGCATTTCTAATCAAGAAATTTCTATTCAGTCATTGAAATGTAAATCAAAATTAGTCACCAGTTTGTGTGAACACGTTACATACATGCAGTTGGTATTTTATTCTACACCCTTCAAGCATGACATTAACTACGACTAAACGCGCAAAATTTCCCATAAGAGACGAATCTCAATTATGAGACTTAGCAAAAGTTTAAACATCTACAGCAAGTTAGTTAAGACATTACTCTCATAATGCAATCAAATGAGTGAGATCATGGTTCTGTTAAGCCATTAATAGAGACCTTCAATTAGTCAAGTGTAATGACCAAGTGACGGTCACTAAAACTAAACTTTAAGAGAACGTAACGACCTTAAGGACGAAATGATACTAACATATTTCTGCATGAGATAAAACCTTGACACTTCAGGACCGAAACTTAATTCTCTAATCTTTTTCTTATAATAATGCAAGCTATATTGATCCGCTTGACTCTAGGTAGAAATGGTAGCTCTGACACAAACGATTATAATAAAGTCTAGAATGGCACCTTCAGATAAGTGCATAAAATTGTAGCCCCTTTGAGGATCAGAACCTAAGATTGAAACTAAAAAACCAGTAGAATAAAATACTGCGACATATTTTAGACAGATAAAGAGATTTTGAATAGAATTGAGTCATCTTAAAGAGTGGTTACAAGCGCAAACAGGGATTTTACCGTCGAGTCCATAATTTACATGGCCTGTATTTTAATAAAACACAGGCAAATGTATAAAATCCATAGTAAATAGAAAAATAGCATAGTAACAAACAAAATCTCACCCAAAACAGTCTGTGATTCTGCATCAATTTGGTAAATAAGATTATCTTCACAACCACATACAAGCATGTCAGCATTAGGATTAAACGCAGCCGAACAAACAGTAGATGGAAGGTTATATGTTGTGATTAGCGCGGAGGACCAATTTCGGAAATCGAATTTGAAAACCTGAGCCGTCTTACCAACAGCTACCAACATATCAATCGTAAGGTCATCACGAATATATAATTCTGCGTCAGTTGGAATGCTGGGAAGTTCGATCTTACAAAACTCTTTATCTTGGCACTGTACATCAAACAACCTTCATAAAAGAAGAGAGAATCAGCTGTTAATATAGAAGTTACCTGATGGCCATGTCTTCAGATGCTGTGGCTATACACGAATCATTGTTGATCCACAACACTTTCCTAATATTCTTTTCATGTCCAGAGAAAGTGCAAACAGCTAGAAAGAGAACGTTTTAACTAAATCACGTTCATTACGTATTTCAGGAGCATTGAGGTCGTAGATAAGAACTTGTCGCTTATTGTTAGCGCTTAGGAGATATTTTCCTTCATCGCATCTTGAAAGACTGACGGAACGAACTATATGTGATTGTGAAATGGAGAGAATTTCTTTTCCATCACATACATTCCAAATTTTAGCGGAGAAATCTGCAGACCCAGTTGCAGCCAAGGAGGCGGATGTGTTTAACGAACATGACCATACTGCTCCACCATGACCAATAAAGGAACCTATCCAATCTCCAGTATCGCCTCTTCTTAGCATGGCTTTGCAGTCTAAAATAACAAGATGGAGTTTAGCAAAGGTTTTCCCACTAAGATTTAAAATGATTAAACGTCATATTACCCTTAGAAGAACTGATAAGTAAAGGACCACATTCGGGATCCTCTGCGAAGCTTAAATCTATTACCGGTCTTGTATGACCATTGCAAATAATAGGAGTTTGACGTATTGGGGATGCCATTCTTGAGATGCTAACCCACGTTAACTCACAAAGTCCGCAGATTTCAAGGGCAATTCAATTAGCCCAACCAAGTTTAGGCTCACTTAAATAGTCAAATTAAACATCATTGGCTAATTTAGTCAGTACAGTAAAACTCTCTCTAAAATAAAATACCAAAAGCAACATTGAATACAGTATTTTTTGTATTATTATAATTGGGAAATTGAACCCAATAAATATCTAAATATATCGGATATATAAAATGATCCGTAATTCACTGAATATATTTATATTTCCAAGTATTTACTTACAATTTGATAAATAAGCAACAGGATATACTTCGTTGGTATCTCATGGCAAACATTGACTAAATGTAAATACGCCTTAATTTTACGCTTATGAATTGTCTGAAAATTTATTCAAGCATCGTTCTATTCCCGTCAAGGTATTCTAACTGCTGCAATTAATCAAATTCTAAATAACTAAGCCTTTCTCAAAAAGTCTTTATTGACAAACAAACTTTCCTTATCGAATAAGAACAACATAGATCATTCTGTGACATTCAAACTAGCGAAATTTAAAATAGTTAAAATTTTCATTCCGAAGCACTACTCCCACACTTGTTTACTTTTAACTGGAGATAATATTGGCTCGTAATCTATAGATTATAGTTTACCTCCAAATTTATTTTACACTTGGACCGATCTTATAGCAAGTTAAATCACGTGACAGCCTGCATCAGACAAACGGTAAATTAGCAACTTGGTTATTGATACTCTTTCATTATATACGTGATTTTTATGTCTTGCGATAACTAAATTCAACCTTCATAAGATTGATTCAATAAATTGGACTAGCGTGCTATTTGACACTTTATTTATCTCAGCGCCTCAATTTAAGTCAATTACTAGAATCTTAATGCAAACTGATGAACAATAAAAACCATGTATACTTTATTACTTAAGACAAAGAGGAACGATTTAATAAATTTCGCTATTCTTGGCAATGTATAACAAATATGTACTTATGCATTTGATTTCGAAAAGTAAGAATTCAATTTTTGTCGATTTTTTGGAAGATAAATCAATAACCCAATTCGCAAATAATCAGTATCCTATTGTAAATAGAGCCGTATTTAAGCACAATCAATTTCCATTTTCAGCTCTTAAAACGTCTAATGAATTTTTTAACCGTCTTTTTTCTATTTCACCTGTACTTGGTAGCTAAGTATCTGCAAATATCTCTGCCTTCACTACATAATACTAAACGCTTAGTTTGTGCTTTCGCGCAATCCAAAATATTCTCATTTTCTAATCGACAGACCCCTCGCAACTTATTGCTTCTTCTATATATCATCCACATGAGATCTCATCCGCTCTGCACCGCAGTTCCTTACATCCCTGCATCTTTCTGTTTGCTGTATATCATCAAGGGATTCCTACCTGTTAGACTTAACTCATTATTTACTGCTCTGCATGTAATTACGCTCCGACACTAATACTTTTCAGAAATATTTGAAAAATAGCTCAATTAGATCCTAAATGTGTACCCCTTTATTAAGCAGTCACTTATAAAAGACAAGTGTATATCCACGCCTAACAGTAGTGGCTACTAGAAAAGCTCAGGTATTAGTAAGAATAGGTATATAAAAAATTAAAGGGGAAATAATTATTCGATAAGAGAGGAGACAATAGGTGACCATGTGTCAAAAAGTTCGCTCGAGGCAGCAGCGAAAATTCCCGTATGAGAGTCAAGGTCACTGGGATCCTGGTGATTGAAGGTGATGGAATCTCCTTTGAGAGTGCGTACCACTCCGCCACGGGCTTGCAGAATCGTGGAAGGTCCACAGACATCCCACCGGCGAGCTCCGCCTGCGTGAATATAGAGATCCGCTCCTCCTCGAGCAAGCTCTATCATCTTGTAACCTATAGAAAAAAAGTGGAAATGGTTAAAATAAGGTGTTTGATGTTCCTGATGAATAGGAGGATCGCTGAACAAATTGACATTGTAACGAGCTCAACTAGACAAAACCATCACCAATCAAGTAGCGGTTAGAACTTCAATAGTTAAGCAGATGAAAATGATTTACTAATATAACACTGCGGTTTTAAATTAAAAGCATGCCTCCGAGATACTGCACTTCTGTCCTTAAACTTGACGAGCATTATTCAATGATCCCCGAGCGATATTTAGGCGCATGCTTCCTGCAACTATGATCAACTTGCAAAGGTTAAACATTTTCCAATTTTCTATTTTGAGTATGACTTTAGGAAAACCCCGGTATAAGCATTTATTACATTAGAGACTACGTGGCGATCAACTTTGAATAACTTGCATTCTTGGGAATAAGGAGAGGACACCAGTTCAGTGCTATTAATAAGTATTTCCATACGATTGACTTTTGAAGTGAAAACCACCTCTGACTAAAGATGATAGATTTACTTCAGTCGTCATGCCAAGAATTCAGGAGTAGTGTGTCTGCACGCACCTTGGAAATAGTACGAATGAGGGACATGAAAAACACATGTGAGATATTAACCGACCATTCCAAAACAGAGCATGCACGCAAAAAAACATAAAGTCTTGAGTGTAAGCGTTCCAACCATAATTGCAAAACCCAAAATTATGATTTGGCGAGAAGGGCCGTTAAACAGACTGAGATGCAAAGGTCAAAATTAAGGCAAAAACTGAAAGTGAATAATGATCAGAATCTACCTTCAATTTAGATCGCACTCTGGCAATTTAGATCTTCCGTTTCAGCATCACACCAAAGTCACGCGTAAGTGGAAAGAGACAAATAATGAAATCACAAAAAATGACCGAAATACAACAGTAAACAGAAAGTACTTTGCTTGCATCAGTCTAAGCATTCATGTTCATCTTAAGCCAATTATAGTCACAGTAAGTATTTAACATGTACACTTTTCATAGTAAATGGGGAAAATTTGAACTATTATTATGTAGTCTCAGTGACTGAATGGATCATTTGCCCGATTTAATTTACAGGTTCGGTAAAACAAACCCTTTTTAATGCCCAATTAGGGTAGAAAATTACTCTCCAGACATTATAATTAAGAAGTACGTGTTCAACCAATCAGTTTTAATTTAATCAATACTCATTCCGTTGAGAAGTACTGGGGAGCACACAAACAAAGTAGGCTCATGGGCACTCAGACAAACTGGAAGGTGCGCCGTACAATTTCGCGAAGGGATCGTGAGCGCGGAGAACTTGGCCAACCGCAGGTCAATAGTCTTCGGCTGGTTGAGCAAACCCGCAGTTATAACATAATGACTAAGTTCCTTGTCTGTAAGGGACACCTCACACAGTCCAAATAAATGTGGAACACGTGATACGTCTGTTTCCTCTAAAGCTTCGAGATAGCTTAGGTAATTCTGGGAGTCTTTCCAAACATCGGAGAATCTGCCATAGAGATTTTTAGTATAGTTAAGGCTTGTTAGTATAGCAATCGGCTACAGTACTGATCTGGTGCTCTGAATATTTATCCATACACCACTAGCGCACAAAGAATTACTCTTATATACGTAAAAATGGAAAGTATTTGAAAACACCTTCAAGACAACTTTGAACAGAAAGATTGAGAAAACTATTGCGATTTACAACGTCTGAGAGTTCACAAAATTAAAAAGACTGCATTTTATTCAATGACACACACACACACACACGTCGATTAAAATACTGCCAAGGCGTTCACTATTTCTGTTCCCAAAACAATAGGTTTGTCTTGTGCCAACGAATTTAAAACTCACTTTTAAAAAAACACAATCACTTTTAACCAATCAGGGGGTTGAAGTATTATAATAGCCAAGAGAAACGTGTTAAGAAGGCATGAATTTCAATGGATAGAGTCCGATATTAGTGACATATTTTAAATTGAAATCACAAGAGCGCGATTTCAGAAGAAACGCAATTTAACCTCTTAGTGCAATCTACGGAGCATGATTAAACGTATTAAAGAGAGCAAAGAACATTTACCTATTTGTCAGTTAACGCTTACATGAGGCACAAATGGCCATTCACTGAGTCAGTAGCTAAACTATTATAATTATGAACTTCCATAAATTTCGCTTGAAGTAAGATAGGAGGGAACGGTGAATGGAATTCAAATAGGCACATTCGGAGGGGACGAAGAGGATATACGCCTCAAAGAAAACTGAAAAATTCATAGTCAGAAGAAGGAGAAACCCAATTCAAGTGGAGAGGGAAAATCGATAGAGGTTGGAATAGGGAGACCAGAATGGTAAATGAGATCAAGACTTCAATTTTGGACACTATTGTGCAAATGGCGATCTTGTCACAATTTAATATGACTACAGCACGCAGACAATCGCAGCAGTGCGCAATAATTTAACTTGCAAGACCTAAGAGAACAAAGAGGGCCAAAAGGCCACGTGTGATAATGAAAATTATGAAATAAATTAAGATGTACAGAAGGGATGTTCTAAAGGCAAAGTTTCCAACCTTTAAATCCACCTCCAAACCTTTACTATTATTATTATTATTATATCAAATGGCAGGCGTCTTGAAGGTTATCATTAGCCCTTTAGTTGACTTCAGTTTCATGGTTATCATTTGCCCTTTAGTTGACTTCAGGCTTCACAGAGAGAGTCGGGAGGAGAGGGGGAAACAGAAGAGTGTTTCAAAGATGTAAAAGAGACCGACACAAAGGTAGAAAAAAGGTGAGGTGAGTACTATAGAAGTAGTCGAATATGACATATAGTGAGGCGATGGTAGTTTGAAGTGAGAAATCAACCGACAGTTAATAGACTTTTTTGCCGTATGTGTATACGTTGCCCAGAGTGCACCACGTGGAGGTAAGTCTATCGCACACCCCAAGATATCTGTGTGGGCTCAACCCTTCTGTACACCTCCAAACCTTGTGTCTGGAATACCACATGAACGAGATTTAAAGAGTATAGCACTAAATAGATGCATATATATATACTCGGAAATGAGCAAAAGTGAAGAGCAAAAACAAGAAATTCAGAAACATTTTTGCTAATAGCAGTTAATATCTATACCCTCTCAAAGGATTAGTACCTTTCTCTGTAACCTGGCTTACGGAAATGCTAGGCGGAAATGGTGATTTTGTTAAGCCAGTAAGTTATGCCTTTCCTGTGTTTTAGTGAAAATTTACTAAGGCGAAAATTTTTCAAGACAGTTCCGAACTTGGACATTAATTGCAGTGACTAAATCTGCCAATCAAAGCTTGTCAGCAGGTACCAAAAATGAAAGATACGGCTAAAACCAAGATTTTCAGCACGATATAAGTAACCGTCCGACTGCAAAATTGATTAAAACTTTAAAACAAACAGAAACGAACTCAATAGCTTTTATTTAGGAATGATGTATAATAGGCAAGGCTCTCTAAACAACCCATTTAGAGATATAAGCACGCTTGGGTGTGAACGTTTTGTTATTACCCGCCGAATGAGGAGCTTTCGTTTTTGAGTTGCTCAAACAGAGGCCATAGTAAAAGATTTTACGAGATTAGGAATTACAATATCGTGATGAGATTAATAGTTGGTGCTTACGGCCTCAAACGTGATAAACAAAGGGGGACTGAGAAGGCGAGGTCAAATTTTTCCTAACAAAACTGAAAGAAACAAAGATTGAATACCTGAACCACCGGCGGGAATGACTTCAATTGGAGTTGAGCCGAACGCCTTACGCAATTTGTCGCTAAAATCTTCCATACTATGTGATCGAGAGATGAGAATTCGCAGGGGATTCTGTGTTGTGGGCGTTCGAGGCACTGGTTTTGGAAGGCTTCGAAGGTTCCCTGACAACTGGTTAGCTAGTGATGACCAATCTAAAAGGCGGAAAATAACTCTAAAATGAATACATATCCAATTTTCTTCATGGTAATCTTGAATCTCAAAGCTATATTGGACAGCTGAAGGGGAGAAAAAGAACCAAAAGTATAACGAATTAGTCATAGCACCCTAGATGAAATAAAGCGATGGGGGGGGGGGGTTGGTTATATTAGTACTCATACCCAAGCATGGAAGATCAACCGTTGGTGGTGGTTAGCTAAAATGGGACACGTTTTATCCAAAATGAAATTACAAAATCCACAATTACTTATTTATAATTGGACATAATTGTTAGAATGCACTAAAGATAAAGTGAAGGAACAGGAAATTTTGACTAATTCAATGTACATTATTAAGGTCGAAATTTGTAACTATTTGAGAAGCTTCTCACACATTGATTTTTGACAAAGATAGCACGATCCTGCTCAGTTTCCCTCCCTTCAGATGATTTCGCGGTAATTGGCTGAAAGAATGGACTTAATTAGGTTTATTAGAGACCAAACTCTTGTACAATGGGAATATTTTCAAATAAAATAATATGATATACTGGAATAATTTCGTTTAAATGCAAATTCTAAAGGAGACAATATTGACGTTCAAAATTGTGAAGATGAATTACTTACAGGTCGTATTCGAAAAGGGAAAATGGACAACTCCGAACATCGGTACACCGTGAATTGCAGCGCATCCCATAACCGATATATAGTTGAGCAAATTTTCTGAAAGGAAAAGCGTGCAACTCAAATGAACTCAAAGTACAGTTATAGAGATACAAAATGGTTTCTTACCGCTGAACTCCTGGGTAGCATCCAAAGGATCAATCCAAAGAGAGATTTGTCGAAGATGCAAGAAGATATCCTGTTCAGGAAGTTGGTTTAGAAGTAGCTTTCGGCGTTGACTGACTTGATCCTCGTTAAGAATATGTTTCATGGCCAGTGTCATTGATGATTGTTGTGGCATTTCACGCTCTTCTGAGTTTATCTGAGACTGATGAGAAAGATGTAGATCACATTTCATGTAAATCAAGTTTCATATGAGGCCAAAGCATAAATGGAAGATAAGAAATATTCTAGAAGAATTTAATAAGAACGTAATGCATGTGTCTGATGGACCAAAAGAGAAAATACTAAACGTAATTTGAAGGAATAAGATTCGTATAATCCGCGATTGACTCATTGAAATTGAAGTAAACATGACAGATGTAGACAAGTATTCAAGATGCCGAGCGTCTTCCCCTATCGGAGTGACGGTAACAATGTGGTGAATGTCCATTGGCACTCATTCCCCTTGTACATAATATTAAGGTGGTATTCTGGTCTAGAAAAAAAATTTCCTAAAATTTTTTCCCCATATTTTCATAGCATATTTATTCAAGAATATGTCTACGAGAGGATTTTCCAAAATTCAGATTAGTTTTGGAGATATAAATATTTTGTTGAGCAGGCATCCAAATCGGTTGGGCTGCAACTAATCGAACAAAAGACATATTGAGTTCTCCAACTACCTGAATCTATATTTCTAAGTAAGTTTTTTTTGTTCCGTTATATCTATCTATCCATCTATATATATTTTTACATATATTTATGTATATATATTTCACGGTAATTGATTTACGGAACAGGAAAACACCAGTTTTACGAGTGCATAAAATGGGGGAAATCAAATAACGAAGAAGTAATTATAGATAATAATTACGGCTACTGTGTTTTGGAGTGTTTCACGGTCTTTTGAGCAATTTCTTCGTTTATTTCGTGTATTACATACAACGAGATTATATTTTCAAGAACGGCTCAATGCGGACTCGGGTTCAAAATTGCATTACAATGCAGTTGCAATAGTCTACACTACATTCCATCATGTCCAATCGTTGACAAATCCTTCGAAGTTTATTATCAGAAGAGTTATTGAATCGATGTTTGGGTTAAGAAACTTAAAATAATAATGAGTCTCTAAACTCGCTGATATGGACTTTCGCTTCAAAGCATATCCATTCCGGGTCTCAGATCATTGAAATTGCAATATTTATTGCGGTGTGTATTTTTAATGAGGGTTTTATACCAATATTGAAGATAATGACGATTATGGGAGAGAAAATTGGTTTAAAAGCGCATGCATTTGCTATCAGACGAGACAACACTCGGATTGACCGGTCCGAGATACGAGCATCCAGCGCATCAAAGGAGGCCAGAACTGTTCGATACGAGCATCCAGCGCATCAAAGGAGGCCAGAACTGTTCGAATAGAAAACAGAGACACCGAAAATAGTTTTTTCGAAGTCGAGGAAGGTCCAATGTATGCAGCAGGAATGGCAGATTGAATAAATGTAAGTTAAATATATAATTTTATGACCTAGACTGCAAAAAATTTTACTTGAAACTTTAAACGCGTTTTTCTCAAAACTGTTTTTTTGAATCTGATACCCACGATTTCTCAGATTCTGCTCAACCGATTTACTTGAAATTTTAAGAGGGTCTTCTTTAGGGACTTAGATATGTCCGGAACTACGGCCATCCCCAAATTTTAATTTTACTATTTATAAAAAATTGAAGAATGTTAAAAAAGTGGTACAAAAATGGTTTTTTCGTTTAGACAGTCGCCATTTCGTAAAAAATATAGCTAAAACTTTTCCGTAGTTCCGGACATAGCGGCATCATTGTAGATTGATAATTTTTTTATTTTTTGATTTCAGATTGCTTGGAGAGCTAAAATCGTGGGTATGGTCATGCACCATATTTTTGGGACGCCCCACTCCATCAGCTGATAAATAACAAAATTTAAAATTTTTTAGTTTTTTTGTATGCTTCTAAGGTGAATAAATAATATATATAAAAAATTGATAATAAAAATATTGCTTGCCTTCTTTTACAGTACTTCAAAAATGACCTAAAATTCATGCCTCTAGACCAGAA